TGATCAAATTATGGCCATGAATTTGAGACACTGAGGGGACATGGGGCAGTCGGACAGGGTAGAGAGGAGTGGAAATGATTTAAATACAATGTACTCATGAATGCGATTCTCAATGTTTTTAATTTAAAATGTTAAGGGGATGAAGAAATACTGAGTAGTTAAGAGAACTAATTGATCTTCCTGAGGACCCTGGCTCAGTTCCCCACACCCACATGACCACCCAGAAACATCAGTAACTCAAGTTCCTGAGTTATTGGTGTTTTCTCTTTCCTCTCTTCTGGTCTCCACTGACATTGCACACGTGGTGCACTTACATACATGTATGCACAACACCCAGACACTTAAATAAAGAAATAAAATTTAAAAGTAGATGAAGCAAAGAACAATAAAAGTAAACAAAAATCCGTCTGTTCTTTACAAAAAAAAAGAAAACAAAAACCAAAAAAAACCCCAAATACTCTTGTTTACTTTTTTCATGCCCCTTTTTAGAGCATAGAGTCTTTAGGAATTATGGTGTGCTTTATAAAATTTCCCCAAATATGATTTAACTTATTTCCATTATAAGAGCTAGAAACCTGGGGCTAGGTGTGGTGGAGGATGCCTTTAATCATAGCATTTGGAAGGCAGTGGCAGGCAGATCTCTGTAAGACCAAGTAGCCAGCGTGGTCTACATAGGGAGTTCCAGACTACCTGAGGCTACAGGGAGATCTTGTCTCAAAATTAAAAAAAAAAAAAAGAAAAGAAAAGAAAAAAGAAAACAATGAGAAACTGATTCTACAGAACACAGAGGCAAAATGAGTCACCTCAGTGTGATGATTAAAGCAAAATATTGTCCAAACACTTCCAATATTTTCATTCAAAGCTTTTGTGAGGCATCTCTTATTTTTTCTTATTTTTCTACAATTACTAGTGCACAATGGGTATTATGAGTCGAAAAATCTCAAAAGGCTTTGAGGAAGACAACTATTCAGCTCAATCTACCCAGCATTTTTTTTTTTTTTTTTTTTTTTGGTAGCCTGTAGAGCTGAAAGCATATCCACTACTGTATTTTAGCGGCAAAACCATTGGATCAGCTATGGTATTTTGGACTATATATTGATTTCATTCCCTGGTATACCACATAGATTCTCTTTTTCAGAACATATTACTAATACTGAAATCTATTATTTTTCCTATTGCATATTTGAATGTTCTTGGATTTTTCTATACCTGGAATGCTTAAATATATGTTTTTCCTCCAACATACATTAATCTACTTCCATAGAATGAAAGTGTACTCTGTAGACTGTCTTAAATGGAAACGATGTAGTAAATTTCCCTTTTTCTCCATCCAGGACATGCTATTTGTCCAAATATAAAGAAGACAAACTTTTCTGTCCGTGTGCATTGCAAAATGATTACTGCTAAAATATCCTGTTATTCAATATAAGCATGGCACATATCTTGAAACTCTAAGTCCATCTCTGACTTAAAATCTGATGAGAATACAATATTAAGGAAAGTGATTTTTTTTCAAATTGTGCCATATTGGTTGCATTTTGACACATCAAGTTTTATCAGTTGCATTTCTCTGAAGTGTTCCAAACAACTGTTGACATAAAGCAAAATGTTTGAGACAAATTGGCAAAAATATCTTCCAGGATAAAGGTGAATGCTTATTTTCCACAAGCCATTTTAAATCACAGATGAAATTAGCAGTATCTTATTGAGTATAAGATTTCAATAGAAAATATGAGAAGGCTACAATTGCTGAATTTACACATTTGCGCTTAATTAGCTGCACAATG